CTACAGCGAGAATAAAAGTTACGCCTTCTTTCTTTGCGTGAACATTTGGGCGGCGTTATGCAAATCTTCCCAGATCGTGACGTAGGTACGTGGGGGCGTGTTAGAACGAGCCGTTTTAGGTAGGCGTGGTTAACTCAACTTTTATAAAGAATATCTCTTTGGTTTTGAGACTTTAGTGTTTGCAACTTTACAGATCTTCTTTATGCACCAAGAGCTTGTAGCACTCCAAAGAGAAAGGAAAAATTGAAATCGCATCATATGACCCCTTTAAACTTTTACTGTTTTGATGACTGTGACCCATATAAAATAACTTACTCATGCCATTTTTGAGAGGTGACATGACCTCCATGTTTTCTCTCGGGACCCTGAGCTGGTTAGTGTCGATGTAATAGGTGGTGCCGCTCTTTCCCTTCTCTCCATCTGTCTCCATCGGTGTACTGCCATCCTCCCGGTCCAGAGTCACACCAATCACAGTAGGAAAATCAGCCTAGAAACCACAAAACAACTTTATGCTTACAACATTTTTTTTTTTCAGCTTCATCACCATATATTGGTGATATATTCATCTAACTGCTCACACCTTGGGACAGTCCTCTCCTGCATATCCAGCTCTCACTGAGTATGAGCCCATGTCAAAGACGAGAGCTCCAACTTCATCTGTGAAAAAAAAACAAATAAACATCCAAAAAGAAACAGATGAGGATACAACTATAAAACACACACACACAAAAAAATACTTTGTAATCCACTTAATCAAGGTGGGCTAAATGTACTTGATTTTGAAATATCTAACACTATTTTTAAAATTAAGTGGATACAAAATTATATCCGTTCAAAAGATAAGCTATGGTATTATATCCCTAATATTATTTTTGAAAAAGTAGGTGGTATTGAATTTCTTCTTAATTGTAATTTTAATATTAGCAAGCTTCCCATAAAACTTTCCAATTTTCACAAACAGGCATTGTTATCATGGATGATTATATACAAACAATTTTCCCCCTCACAAATGCTTAATCTGGAATAATAAATACATTGCACACCAAAATAAATCTTTTTTTTTAGTTAATTGGTTTAGAGCAAATAGTTTGTTGGTTTCTCAACTTTTGAATAGTAGTAATGGTCATGCGCTTACATATTCAGAGTTTTTAGAAAAATTTTCATTTTATATACCTGTTAAGGAGTATACGATGGTAATTAATGCCATTCCTTCAGAACTTAGGAAATTATTAGAAAATGATATAGTCGAAAAAACAAATTTAGACTTCAGTGTTAAACTGGTAGGTATAAATATAAAAGAACAAAAATTTAATAATAATTATCTTAGAACGATTTGCCAAATTTCCAGTGTTCCTTTAGCCATTGGTTTTTGGAGAACACAATTTCAAGATGTCAACTGGAAAGAGACCTTTAAAAACCAGACGTTTTTTTATCACAAATAAAATTAGAGAAGTATCGTACAAGATCGTTCATCGTATTTATCCTGTAAAACAGGTAATTGCAAAGTTTTATAAAGACATTGACTTGAAGTGTGTTTTCTGTAAAGAGGAAAATGAGAGTATTGTTCATTTATTTTATGATTGTATTTATACAAAATTATTTTGGGGTGATTTGGTTTTTTTTGTTAAACAAAGTATTAATATTGAATTGCAACTCAAAGAAAAGGATGTTTTATTTTTTTATGAGTATACTGTTGACTTAAAGATTTGGTATATTGTGAATTTACTCATTATATATGGAAAATTCTTTATTCACAAATGTAAATGGGCAGTGAAAAAAACTAATTTTACTCATTTCAGAATAGAAATAGGTCACTACTTGTATACGTTAAAAGAAACAAGAAATAACAAAGCAAAAAAAACTGTAAATTACTTTAAAGCCTTAAATCTATTCTTTGAATAATTTGTAATTATTTGTACTTGTTTACAGACGTGAGTTTTTTTATTGCTTTTCTTATTTAGTTTTTATTTATTTATTTTAAGTATTTGTTTTCAGTTTAAATGTTATTGCCCTTATATGTTCTTTGTTCTAAAAATTGCAATAAAAAATAAATAAAACACACACACACACATTCAGTAACTATAAACTCCTGTAAATTAATCAAAAATATCTTCCGTTACTATACGTAAATCGTCCAGCAAATTGTATTTTTATTAACAACGCACTCAATATTTTATTTTTATTAACTGTGCGCTCAATATTCTGCTGTATGCTGCATTCTACAAAGCATACAAATCTGAAACGTTGACTTTGGGCTCATTTTCACTAGAAACCTTTTTTTTTTTTCACACAGAAATAATCATGTCATGCTAGTTTGATAGCTAGCGAGCTCATAAACGTGGCGCACTCTTATTCATTTGATTCTCCCTCCAAAATCGCACTTACCTCCACCATACACTCCGCCACTCATTGTTGCGGCTGGTCAATACTGAGAGAAGGCAGCTGTTTGATTTCTTATTTTAAAAGCGGGGATATAAAATAAGACCCGTACGTTTTGTATTTTCACTATCACAACAAAGGAAACGAATCAGACATCTTTGTCTTGGGGGATTATGGTGGCTTGTGGTTGAGGTGCTTTTAGCAGCGCCACCAGTCGGCATGGAGGAAAAAAATGAAACTCAATGCAGAATTGCTGAAATTTCTATACAGGCTTAAAGGGATAGTTCACCCAAAAATGAAAATTTGATGTTTATCTGCTTACCCCCAGGGCATCCAAGATGTAGGTGACTTTGTTTCTTCAGTAGAACACAAACGGATATTTTTAAGTCCAGCCGTTGCAGTCTATCATTCGTATAATGCATGGCAATGGTAACAAAATCTATGAGAGTAAAAAAAACATGCACAGACAAATCCAAATTAACCTCTGCGGCTTGTGACGACACATTGATGTCTTAAGACACTAAACTATCGGTTTGTGCGAGAAACCGAACAGTATTTAGATCATATTTTACCTCTAATACACCACTATGCCCAACTGCTTTGAGCGCGTGCACGGCATCCGGTGAGTGAGGTGTGTCCGCGCTTCAGCAAAGAACTAATTAAAATGTATTGCAGAGTTGTGGTGACTAATGCAAGGTCTCTTCAGAAGGATGAAGACTGACCATAATTGTGTCCCAATACAGTTTAAACTGAAATTGATGTCATTGGCTATAAAAATTCAGCCTGAAACATAATTTGATCAGCTCAGTTAAGTTGACAAAAGAGAAAAGATTGAAGTTATGATGATGAAAAAAATATGACGATATGATGAAAAAAGTATTTTGGACTTTGAAAATCTAAATGAAACTGTATGGAGTAAAAAGTTTGCCTTGTACAATTATTCTGTTTCAATAGTACTCATGTAAAATAAAGTAAAAAACAACCCAAAATAATATTCATAAGTATAGTACTATTAATTATGTTCGCCACTGCAGAGTTACAGTGGAATGTACCTGAATTATCAGCACATTACTACTTTGCTTTATTTATTTGTTTATTTTTCACTTGTTTACATAATCTAAGATCCTTGGAATTTAAACATTCTGTATTCAAAATAAATCAAAATATAAAAACAAACAACACTGAAAAAAAGGAAAAGCAGTTTTACTGAATTTACTACAACAATACACTTACAGTCTACTTAATAAATTTATGTTTGAGATGCAAACATACATTTATTGCGTAAAGTCTAAATGAAATTCAACACAGTCATCAAAACATGATATAATCACTTTGCAAGAAAATGTTCAAACTGATTCAGATTTCCAACAAATGGTGTTCACGTAAAATGATTTTTTCTACTGTTTGATTTACTTAATTAAATTTGGCTCATGTCACACAATTACTTTGCATTTTCTTCTCAACTTAATTCCATTGCGTACAATTAATCTAATTCAGTTTTGTGAAGTACGTCGTTTGCGCGGGAGCAACGTGCACGAGAGCGTCTGCGCATGCGCTTTGAAAACCACGACTGTCGGTATGGAAAAGGACACATGAGGGATCTGACTGACTTGTTTCCAAAGCTCGTTAAAAGGTAAGAATTTCAGTAAAAAATCGTATGATATATTATAAAAATGCAGTCATTGTCAGATTAAATGCAACAATAATGTTTTAAGATAACTCCACACGCTTTTAAATCATGTCGACGGTATATTTCGTCGAGTGTCGTCGCAGAATTTTTTTTTTGTTAGGTAACGGTAACGTTAAATATTACTGGTAGTTTATCAAACTTCTACAATGCGATTAAATCATTCACAACTGGAGCTTACAGTCTTATGTACACTTCCACAACTCTTACCCTGCGTATGCAAATCTTTTTGACGTCATTCTACCTTCATACCCCTCCACTGACTTTAGGATTTGGGTGGGGGAGGGGTTCGTAGCCGTTGTCATATCGCAAGACATTGCATTGTTTCATGCTTTTCATCTTGAGAAAGATCTTTCTTCCTCACCATATTACATAAGAACTGTGACTTGCTTAATAATGTGTATAGAAGATTGAGGTCACCGCAAGCATTGGCATTTTTCTAAAAATTACTTGCCTAGTAAGTTACAAAAAAGCTACCCCTCATATTTCTTGTTCATGTGTTAAATACATATTCATCTTGTTTTCTGTCTTTAGGACATGGAAGAAGATCTTTTACAGAGTGCCATTGAGAAGACCACCATGGGCATCTTCGTGATAAAGGACACTGCAGACAATGAAGCCCATGATGTGGGAATTGTGCTAGAGGGTGTGGCAGTGCTTCAGGACCTTGACAGTGTGGCTTTTGCAACGTCAGTGTTGTTCGGTCTAATTTATACTCTTAACCTGCAGTACCCCACAAACTTGCGTTTTATTTTTGAAATTCTGCAAAAGCTCATCATGGAGTTGGATGTAGGTGAACTCTCTATCAAGGCCCAAAATTTCAAATCTAAACTCCATCAGTGAGATGGACCGCTTTTTGAATGACTGCTGAGACTATAAACGATCAACCCAAGAAAATTCCAGCAGCCTTCATGCAAGACACCACTGCAGAGGGTAAACAGTGATCTCGTTGTTTAGACTGTTCCACTTTGCCTACTCTTGTTTCTTTATCCCTTTTTGTCTGAATTTGGCCCTTCTTTGGACTGGCTCAAAAGTTGATTGATTAGAGAGCTGAATCTATGACACATGGATGAACTAGCATAAATAAGATACACTGTTTATAGTTTGGGTAAGGGTCAGATACTGTATGTCAACATTATTTTTACATACATTTCAGTTATTAAAACATGAAGAGGAGGATTACAAATATAGACAGTGCTCTTGGAGAAAATGACAGAAGAGTACAATTTGGCTGACTTTTAGGAGCAAGTCTTCTAAAAATGCTCCGGGACAAATTGATCAATACAGCATTAAATGATAAAAAATATTCAAGCTATGATCTTCAGCATAGACTGCTAGTAGATTTTGTAATGAATCTATATATAAATATCTTTGAAACGAAAGCGTTTTTCTTGAAATAACAGTTCCAGGTACTGGTGTTCTTGGGTATAGTTTTAAGGTTTCTGAGAGAAATTAAATAAATTATTAGTGTTACAATGTTTTATTTGTTTTTAAACACACAGTTACATGCAGTGTAATGTTACTTATGTTTATGATCTTGTTTACAAAAGTTCTTATGAAGGTTTACATATATTGGTGCACTATATGTTATGCATACAACAGTAACTGTCTTTGTTTTTATACTAGTCATTAAAACTAATATGTAGTTTTATTACATTTAATCATCAGAGAAGTTATGCTTTTTGAAAGCACAATGTTGTTTAGGCGTCATTTAAATGACGCATTGTTCAAATGATTAAATAAAGGATTTGCAGAAGGTTTTTGTGTTATTGGAAATGAAATGAAATGAAACATGCGACAACAAACCATTAAAATTTGTATTAAAATTTAATTTTAGTGAAGTTATCAAAATTATGTTAAGATAACTTGATTTAATTGCACAGAATTAACATGATCAAAGCATATATCTAAAATAAAATAATGTTAAGCTAACATAACTGAATTATGTTAGGATAACTTGAAAAGACTATGTACACATTACTTTTTGAAAATACATCTGATTAACACAAAAGTATTATAATGAAACCAAATAAATGCGTAGGACACTGAACTCAAACTGAATGTGTGGAACCAATGTCCATAATTGAGTAAATCCAACAAATCTTTTTTTTCAGTGAACTCTGCTTTCATACATATACTTCATATTTACTTTCAATAATTATATTTCTACTAAATATTAGGAAGAGCAAATGTTTTTAACCAGTATACCTTCTACTTTCATTTACTGTTTATAAACAGCAAGTGTTAACTCAGCACAGGTAGTAATACAAAAATTGTTACATTGCTGACATTTTTTTTAAATAGATAAAACAAGATTACAAACATTTAAAAAGTAATTGTTGAAATTCTTACAACCTCTCCCATTCATCATGCCATTTTGTATATTTTTACCCCAGACAATGATTCATAGAATTTTGAAGAAAAAAATGAACACAAAGTTACTAATTTCCACATTCTGAAATATTCCCTCTGAAATTTAAAATGGATTTGAACAGCGTTTTTGATTCATGAGTAAAATAAAGTCTGGTTAGCATTAGTCATGTTTTCCAAGCTGCTTTCTGTCCCCAGATTCAGATCTCACGGTGGCAGTTCTCAGCTAAAAACTCACCTTTTTTTCTCCATTCCTGGTTTTGGGGAGCTGTTGTTATTTACAGTTCCATTATCTGTTTATTATTCTATCTTTACATGCATAAAATAAACAAACAAAAAAAAGACCTTATACATGTACAGAAACTCACAAGGTGAACAGTTTTAATGAATAGTTTAAGGAAATAGTTTAGGGAGGTGTTCATTTGCATCACTTGCATGAGCTCAAACGAATTCTTCTTGTCTGCAAAGAAATTTTAGTTTTTGCGTGTCTTTGATCCAGAGGTCCAATGAAGTTTAACTGCTGACTTGAGTATAGAACTGAATGTTGTAGATCTATGAACAGATTTAGCAATCATATTTCTCATTTACACAAACACTCATAGAATTACACTTCATGTACCTCATGGTCTTATACATGAACTTTCATTGCTCCACGCTACAGTACATGTTAAACTTCTTACAAATAACTCCAAAGGCTGAATGATTCAAATGTAAACAGTATTTATGTTTATTAAGTTGATAAATATAGCAAAACAAACACACCAAGGCAGCTCTCTGAATGAAGTCACAGTCTTTAAGAAGATGTGCTATACATACATCCTTTGTTTTTTTACAGCCCTGCATGGGCCCATAATGAACTGAGATGTCTGTGTCCTCAATCACATGGGCAGCTGTTATCAGTCTGTGGAGAAAATAAATATTTAAACAGGGAAAAATATATCTGCATAGATATAAGCCTATGGCTCACATAGTTCTTCAGTCAATGCAAACACAGTGGCTACATGAAAACTTTCACCTTCAGTATATGTGTGTGCAAAGAGGAGGTGTTGTGCATGAGGACGTATAGTGGTCAACAAGGATGAGAACATTTTCATGTAGCAGTTTCAGTTTTAGAAAGGAAACATAATTGAATGTGGAAGTCTGAATAAATCAGTTACTAGCACGTTTTCAAGATGTCCAGATTTCACACAGGCAAAATGACTAGCCACAAGTAGGCTGCACATATACAACTATTTCACAAGTACACACAAGCTAACTTGCCATTTTCTGTCCTTACATAAAAGCTGACATTATTTTTTAAGAGTGGTTTTAATATTTCAATGCAGTTTATCACAACACCAATGGATTCATGCTTGAAATTGAATTATGTTTGGAAAAGAAGCTGAATAGGTGCACCTGGTTTGTGTATGCTTGTTTGCATGTGTTGTACTTCCATGGGGCCTTATTTGCATGATGATCTGGAAGCTGAGTATACGGTCCATGCTATAAAAGTATACTATATACTATAGTATGTATGTATATGTATAATACATATGTATACTATGTATACTATAGTATAAGTAAGTGCTCTTCATGACTGTGATCATTTTAGATCTATTGGTGTACTAAAGTCCAGTAAAAAAAAAAAAGTGAAATATCTTTAAAGGGGTCATGAGCTGCATTTTTAAATTATTTTATAATGTTCTCTGAGGTTCACTATAGTGTGATTTAAAAAATCACACTAAATCATTTTTATATGCTGATTTATCAATGTTAGAAACAGTTGTGCTGCTTAATGTTTCATTTATAACCTGTGATACTTTTTTTAGGATGGATTTTTTTTATTATTAAAAAGTTGTTTAAAAAATGTGCAAAAAATAAAACCTTTTATAACAATATAAGTCTATCACTTTTTATCAATTTAACACATCCTTGTTGAATATTAATTTTTTTCTGTATTTTTGATCAAATAAATGCAGGCTTGATAAGCATAGAAGACTTCTTTCAAAAACATTAAAAGCAGTTATTTGTCCAAACTTTTGGCGGGTACTACAGTATATAGCCTACATATTAATCAAAGAGGTAATCTCTTTTTTGTTTGTTGAGAATGTTATTATAGCCGTGATATTATTATTATTATTATTATTTTGCTGCAGTAATTTGTTCAGTGATTTATTCACAGTTCCTGAATACCACTTCAGTAAATAAACATAGCCTAAGTGCTTTTATCATTTTTTCCTAGCTGGGTGTGGGCAGGATTTCACCCATTTAATCAATATTGACTACAGATATTGTCATGTTATGTTAACAATATGATATTATGTATTGCATTGTTACCTTAAATATGCACTATACACAAATCAAGTGGAAGTGAAAGAGACAATCACTACTGAGCTGAAAAGAAGTTAATTTTAATGAAACGGAAATGTACTGTTATGTTAGAGCAGTAATGGGTAGACCGGGTACAGTTGGTACACTTTTTGCTTTTTTCATTACCACACCAAAACTAGGGACTGAAAAGAAGTGATTTTTCATATAACATTTCCTTTACTTGTCTACTAAAATATTAATAATTATTAACATCCATAAGTAGGTCATAATTGCCACAATTAGCTCATAAACACAAGCTTTTTTGTTCTAACTGTACCCATGAGGGGTACAGCTGAGACACCCATCCGTAATGCTGTAAAGCTGCCTAACCAATTCATTGCAAATGTAAAATACCTTTAAAAATGAGAATTCAACAGTTTTTATTTCCATTCAGTATTTTATTTGATTATTTGTTTAGATAAAAGTAGTTCATTTGTAAAACACTGTACAGTAATGGCAAACAGCAATACAATATTTAATTTCAGTTCATCATTTTATAGTAGCAGTTGAAAAGTTGAGTAGCAGTAAAAAACACTGAACAATTGCAAACAGCAATAATAAAACAGATCAAATGAAAACAAAAACCTAATAAACATAATAACAATAAACATAATAAATAAAACATAATAACAATAGCCTAATAAACCATAAAAACAAAACAAAGGCCATTCAGTCACCTAGGCTACGCACTTACTGAGTCACCTGTGTCACTTACAGTTGTGGCAAATGTAGTTTAGGCCTCCATCAGTGCATCCTACATGCGACCACATGCCACAGATGGAGCAAGAGATCCATTGTTCCCCTGGCCGGGATGTTGAAAACCATTAATCACCGACAAGACATTGAGTGTCCTCTGTATTTTTTATTTTTTTTTGCTTTTTGTTGTAATATGATTTTCCTTTTGACCACTTGGGAACACTTTTTTTTCCTCTTCAAGGGCATTCTTTACAGGTGTGTCAGTGAGTATATCACTGGCCCTTGTCTTCTGCCTTTGACCACTGGCCTTTCGGGGACTGGCTTTGGGGTATGGACTTACAGTTTCAGGCAAGAATTCTGGAACATGCTCCTGCTGAACATCAAAACAGAAACACACACACACGTATGAATATTTCATTTTCAAAATTTGATAGGCATACACTACTAGAAGTGAAATTAATTAATTTTTCTTACTTCACTGGTGATTTCTACCTCTTGTAAGGATAGAGGAAATAAAGTGAGGGTAACTTCTTTAAAACCATCTGAGTTAAGGGTCACTGTTGGCATAGGAATATCCAGGGATGGGACATAATACAGTGCAGCAGTGAATGGCCAGCATAGAGATGGAGGTGCAGCAGCGGACGGCCCAGGGAGAGATGGAGGTGCAGCAGTGGACGGCCCAGGGAGAGATGGAGCCATAGGGGGTCTGTCAGTCACTGATGCTGGGAGAAAGTTGAATTCACTGAAGATGTCCTTGTTGTACAGCCAGATCCCAGTGCAGTGAAATCCCTTCTTGACATTCTGAGGTGACGCTGCCAGGAGCAAGATGTTGTTGACCATCTCTGGCAGGTCATAGATGGTGATCGTTGTTCCAGGATGCCTCCGGTGCCACTTGTCCATCTCACTGTTTAGGTTTTTCTTTAGTGGCCCATAAACAGTTCTATCCAGAGGCTGCAGTTGGTGTGTGCAGTGTGGGAGGAAAGACAATAGAACCACGCCATTCGCCCGACAGAAGTTGACAGCTTCAATTGATACATGAGAGGAGTGGTTGTCCAACAAGAGCAAGACTTTGTTGTCTTCTGTTGCCCTGGTATACTGAACAAAATGCTGGAGGAAGACAACAAAGTCCTGCTCCTGCATACAGCCACTATCATTGGCTGTGCCAATTGAGCCCTCTGGACCACCTCTGATGAAATGAGGGAGATACTTCTTCGGGGGGTAATGTTATCCAGGGCATTTCCTGCCAAGGCCATGGTAACAAGGACCCCCCTCTCTGCAGACGTTACACTCCCAACTCTTCTCTCTCCCTTGGTTGCAACAACATGTCCAGGATTCTGGACTGTTGTTAGGCCTGTTTCGTCCATGTTCCAGATGTCTTTTGCTGTGAACCCATGCCTCAACCGGTCTGTGGCCAGCTTATCAAAGAATGTTGCCACATTTGTGGGATTAAAACTGGTGGCTCCGCTTAAACTTGTGGACTGAGGCCTTCTTATTAAAAGGTGTTGGTGCCTTCTCATGAAGTTTGAGAACCAGCTCTCACTCGCCATGCCATTTGTAGCCCACTGTGCTGGAAAAGACAATCCATAAAAACTGGCTAATTCAAAGGCCAGTTTGCATACCTGAAACAATAAAAAATAAGTTAATAATGCAGTTGCACTAGTATAATTGAAGTTGTTTCATTTTATGATTTAATAATTTCATATTTGACCTAGAAGTTTTTTAACAATGCATTTAAAGGCACAGTATGTAGAATTTTCACCGCTGGAGGTCGCCTATTCAAAACAAAGGCGTTGCTTATTTCTCTGGATTTAAACATTCTTGGAAAAATTGGGATAATGTACGTACACAAGTCAAAAAAAAATATATAACACTGTTCTAGTGGTTTTTGGATATTTTAATCCAAAAACTCTACATATTGTGCCTTTAAAGAACACATTTCTCTGTGTGTCTTTGTATGTGTATGTTCATGTGTCTTTGCTGGCTAATTTGAGCATTGTGCTTAACCTGAACTTTTTCTATTGATGCTTTAACTTTTACTCTTCAGTGTATTATACCTCTTTTGGGGGGAGCCCAAAGAATAAAGCTGCTGCTTTCCTCACATATGAAACAAGACTACAGGATATGCAGTTATATTTTGCTTGTTAGTCTGCCTGTCCAAACAAATACATTTCCATTTTATTCTCTACTTTTATGTTCCATGAAAAAAAGGCTACATATTTTCAACATTAATGGGAGTGGATGATAACAGAGTTTTCATTTTCAGGTGAATCTCTCAAAGACAAGCATTTTGGATCAAAGTGTTGAGATGATCAAAGGATTCCTGACTCAGCCTTGTTCAAAAAACCTGATCAGTTCTCTCTAGCATTTCCCTGTGCTGTATAAGGCCTTCAAAGTCATTAATTAAATACTTATGCTAATAATTAACTCTGTAACTGCAGATCTAACCACCTAGAAAGGGTGTATCAACTTACCACCTTGCATATTTTACAACATGCCCTAATATCCTTATGTCCTTCATGTTAGAAAATGTGTCAATGAGAAGTAGACAGTTTAAATATCGCAAGCATCAAACACAAAGTCATGCAATATGTCAGTTTTTAGAGCACAGATTAAGGTTTATGAAAATGTAAGTTAACTTTAACAGTCATGTAAGGATGAGAAGCTATTCAATGTGGAAGGGACGTGGTGAAGTGAAAAACTTACCTTAGAAAAAAAACTTTCGCCGATATCTTCGGACTGGAGAAGCGCATGTACTTCAAATTTCCCACGATCGAAGAGGGCGCTAATATGCATGTGCCAAGCAGATATCACAGCTCAGACTTGTTGCGCTGTTGCAGGTTGCGCACACAAGTTAAGGTGTTTCAAATGTGCCCCTGTACCAACTGTACCCGGTCTACCCTAATCATCAGCAGAATTTGATACATCCGAGTTCCTTTTTTTTTACATTAAAAAAATGTTTAAGTGTGTTTGCTTTTTGACTTTGAATACAAACTTTTTTGCTTTTACTTTTGTAGCTGTTTTGCTTTGCTTGTCAGCTCCCGACTCGAATTGTACGCGCAAATTCAAAGCGTCGCGTCTGGGCGTAATAAACCAGTGAATGATCTGTCCACAAAGGTTATATTTAGAATACATTGCAATCACTCCAAAATAGATGACGACAACTCACACACCTGCATTAGGAGCTGTCTTCTTTGCGTGCCATTTAGCCTTTTGCTTCGCAGCACCTGAAGGATGTGTTCATTACGGCAAACATCCAGAAGGCAGCAGCCACATGGCTTTAAGAACAGTTTGAACACAAGAAATGGAGCGAAATGTTTCAGAACAGATCATCACGCAAACAGCTTGCAGCACTAGGCCTATTTCGTTGGGTGACAGTTGTTGTCAGCTTGTGTAGTGTGTGACCCCCTGTTGCGGATAATTTACATAGTGTGAACACCACAACCACTTCAAGGCAGACAGCAAGTCATGTAGTCTGAACAGCACAGCGATCTGCCGACGTTTAAAGTCGTGTAGTGTGAACATAGACTTGTATGAGTGTGAACTTGGCTTAAATTGAGGATGCTGAAATGTACATAAATAATAAATGAACAAAGGGTGCTTATCAATCTTTATGCACATTGTTAGCGTTTACTAGTGATGTTAGGTTCTTGAACGAATCGTTCTTTTGAGCCGGTTCTCAGGAAGTAGCCGGTTGAGCCAGTTCTCAGGAAGTAACCGGTTGAGCCGGTTCTCAGGAAGTAACAGGTTGAGCCGGTTCACAAATCGAACTTTAGTTCCGGGTTGATGACGCAGGACGCACAGCCGAAGTAGCACGTCCAACTCAAAAAGAACCGAATGAGCCGGTTCAACCAACTGTCGAAGTTTGCCGAGGATTACCGAGGACTCAACAAGAACCGAATGAGCCGTGGCGAAGTTTGCCGAGGATTAGAGCCGGTTCACAAATCGAACTGAATCGAACTTTAGTTCCGGGTTGATGATGCAGGATGCACAGCCGAAGTAGCACGTCCAACTCAAAAAGAACCGAATGAGCCGGTTCAACCAATTGTCGAAGTTTGCCGAGGATTACCGAGGACTCAACAAGAACCGAATGAGCCGTGGCGAAGTTTGCCGAGGATTACCGAAGATTTCTGATGAGTGAGTTGAGGATACTGTGCAAGCCTGAGGCGCGTACTGGAAATATGCTTGTTTATTATGTTTATTAAATGGTTATTAGTTTACATTTTATTAAAACCTGCAAAAACCTTTCTGTAGAGTGATGTAAATACAATAGTTTATTGTGCATGCATATTATAGTTAAAGTTGCTTAAGCGAAATCAAGGAGTTTATAAGACTGGTTTATTAATTCTTTATACAGTAGACATGTAACATATCCGCGTTTGTGCATCAATGTCTGTAATGTGTGCTGTAGGTGCGAAACTTTTAGGAATCTTATACAAGTTGTAGGCTAGTCAATATTGGTCAGTCAGTCGTATCTTGAGGATCCGCGAATGAAACTGTGACCACAAACACCATTAACTTAAGTGAATTATATGGCAATAATCAGCAATATGCTTTCACACAAATAACTTTATTTTTGAATGTTTCAATATGCGTTGACACAAGTGACTTATTTGAAATTTTAATTGATACAACATGGCACTGCGTTGTTAGAAAAGAAACGCGTAGAGACGTTATTGACGTCAGGAACCGATGAATCGGCTTTTTGAACCGGTTCAATCCCCCCCCGTCAAAAAAAAAAAAAAAAAAAAATTTGACTGTCCATATCCCGGCCCAAAAATACAACAACAAGCGACCAGTTTCCAACACACTCCATTTTTTTATTATTAGCTCTTTTATAGAGCAAGGCTCCACCCACTTTTAGAACATACCATGTAGAGGTGAACAACAATGTAAAAGCAAGATAAAACAATCCAAATACATAAGAGTTTGGTGTGCTTTCTTTAAATGCTACCTCATATAACAAACATTAAACATTAACAGAAAACAAAACAAACAACAAAAGAAAAATATATATAAACAAAACAACTACACTAATATAGAGGGCAGCAAAGGGCATATTACACCACATAAACAGGAAAGTACCTACACATCTACTCTAACTGATGTTATTTTGCTGGCATTTAGATGTGAGTGTGGATAATGGTGGAATTTGTCCATGCATGTACATGCACATTAGCAGTCCTTCCAAAATAAAAGTCATAAGTCACAGTCCATCTGTGACACACATCATTAAATATTTCATAAATAATTCATACTGTATTTACCATTACACTAGACTAGGCTGTTAACTCAGGCTCGGTTTTTACCCTGCATCTGAAATATTAGTGTGTATGTTTGTATTGTTGCTTTTTACTTTTATGTTTATTCTTTATAATATAAATCATATATTATTTGAGGTTAAATTAAATAAATGTAATGAATACATTTTATTTATTCGACAATAAAGTAATAAAATTATAATATTTATGTTAACATGCTGTTTTTATGGGAGTATAAAAACAACAACAATAATAAAAGTATTAGAATAAAATGTGTATTATTGTGATGATGATAATAATGATAATAATAATAATAATAATAACAAGGTTAAATTAAAGGGGTGTATTTGTGTATTTGGAGTAATGAAATATGTTTATGCAGTTTAAGGTTTAAAAAACACATTATTTTCCACATACTGTACATTATTGTTTCTCCTCTTTCTCCCGCCTTTCTGAAACAAAGCTCATCGGTCTGAAAAGCGAGGTGTGCTGTGATTGGCCAGCTATCCAGTGCGTTGTGATTGGCCGAATACCTCAAGCGTGTGAC